GAAAAAAAAAAAGAATCTCAATCCCAAGATTTAATACCTGTCAGCTATTCCCAGGATAAGGAAGAGCCGTAATGATCTCCAACAGGAAACATGCTCATCTTACACATGAACTTGAGTTAACCAACTCATTTTACCAGAAAAAATTTACAGTCACATTTGCAGGAAAATAGTAAATAAAATACACAATGGTTTCTCATGTCAAGGAAAAAGCTTGGCACTGCAGGAACCACAGAAATAGAAGTTGACAGCTGTCTTTTCAGTGGCCCTGGAAAGGAGAACAAAAGGGGTCCATGCCTATCTGCACAAGTTTCTGCATTTCTTACTGTCAAATGTCCAGCTCTGCTTCTCCAAGTCCCATCTCAAGTATTTTCACGTCAACCCTTCACAACTGTCACACAGTCCTACTCACATGCTCACCTGTTGACTACACTGGTTTTAGTAGAGCAGTCACGGTGGAACAAAAGGCCAGACTGGTTTCCAAGGCTTAAATAACCCACACGTGTACCTGCTTCCAGGGAGAACAGGGGACACAAGGAGATCGCTACGGTTGTCACGACTGAGAGCTGCTCACAATTTCTAGAAAGTCTTGCCAGACGTACCAGCTCAAACCACAACCGCAATAAGGAAGAGCAAAAGGCAGGCTGACAGGCTGCCTCTCCCCTCCCCATGTCCATGTCAGACCTCTCCACCAGCTTACGAGCACAGTGGCTGGAGGCGCAGCACCTGCACCACCTCCACCAACAGCACCTCAGCACGGAATTTTGGTCGCAGTGGAAATTCTCCATCAGCCAAATCCAAGCTGCCTTAAGACTACAACATATTGTCTTAGAGGAATGGAAAATCCACTCCTAAACTTCGAATGAAGTGCCACAAACATGTTAAGTACGATCACAGCTATTCAGACCAAGGATCCAACTGCCCCAGCAGAACCCCTACCCCAGTGGTGCTTATGAATAATGCTGATGGAAAAATATAAAGAGTCCCCCCGAACTACTCCCCACTGCCACCTTCCGGAACTACCTGCACCACCAGGGATATGTTTATCACCAGTATCTTCCGACGGACTTCAAAAACATGTTTTTGTAAGTTAGAGAAACCAGTACAGGTGTTGAACATTGTGGTCCTTTCAGGAAATATGTGGTGTTTTCAGAAAGACTGGGATTTTTATTACTACATGGGACATGAGAACACTCAGGATATGCCTGAACGTAGTCCAGTTCACACCCACAAGTCCATTGTCTGCACAGAGGAGGGAATACAATAAGCAATAAGAATAGCTACTAGGTATTCTAGAAAACAAAATACTGTTCAGATGTGTATAAAGTGCAGATATGCTGGTGATGAAGGGAAATAAAGAAATAAATAAGCTTAGACAATGCTTAATGCTAGTCTAGCTCAGCTTGGCAAATTCCTTCGCTTGACAAATTCCTTAGCTCCGCGAATTTTGTACCTGTTTGAGTGATAAGGCTGGAAAGAAGAGTTACAGAACAAGAAGTCTACACATAAAGCCAGCCATAGCCAGTTCTGTAGTTTGGGTAAAGGCCAAGCAATAACTGAGCCTGCGCGGTTAAAAGGTTACTAGCGGTGACGAAGAGGAGTCACCTATCTTCATCCCCACGACCCCTGACAACCACCACAAGGAGTCACCACGCAAGCGCAGTCGAGAGGAGTTTATGGAAATAACTTGTTGGAACTAATTGTAATATGAAGCGGGAAAGGTTATGCATATGTATAGGTGTATATGAATATGAAAAACAGAACTATATAAGTTATAGATGGCTTAGCGATATCTGCGTGCACGTCTTTGGTGGTGCTAATCCCCGTGCGCCCCGTGCTGAATAAAACATACCTACTTCAGAATCGGAGGATTGTGGAGTCTCATCTTTTCCGCCAGTCACTGGTAATAAATCCTTGAATAAATAACTTCTGGGCATCACTACATTTAGATCACAGTTCGAAGTGTGAACTATGTGAAATTTATAAACTCTAAAAAAAAAATATTACCTTCTTAATAGAAGACTCACTAGAAAGCTGGATTTTTAAATTGTACTATTTTGCATTGTAAGACTTCTGTCAAAAGATCTGTATTGATGAGAGAAGATCAGTGCTGGCCAGGTTATGGTCTTCTGTCTTCCTTACTGTTCTCACCCTTTTCCTCCTTCTGTTCATTCCTGCCTAACATCTCTCTAGCTCACTTTCACCTCAGCAGATACTGTCAGCAAAGATCTCTTTCTCTCTTTCTATGACCAAGTAAATCTAAAAGGTGAGAAATCGATTACTGACAAAAAGTGGTCAAATACACATATTAAACAAAATGAGAGACTGCAGATTTCCAGTGCCAAGTATGTATACTGTTATGCCTGCATTTTGCATCTGATTTCTATGTGAAAATATATAATATGGGTTCACAAAAGTGTACACTCCTACCACAAAAAACCCAACACAAAACACTGTACTTGCACAATTTTCTGTACTGAAAAAAATCCACCATTATATTATTTTCTTTTTCATATGCACAACATAGTACTACAAAGCATTTTATACTATCAGTACCACACAGGAGGTAAAGTGACTGAAGTCAGAGATGTGCACCACTGCATGTTCAGACTTGCTTTTATTCTCCATACAGTAACACAGCACAATGTGCTTCAGGTTCTCACCATGCACAAAAGCGTAATGTTTTCTCTTAATGTGACTTAGGTGGCATCCTTTCTAAAAATAATCTCCTTTCAAAGCTTTGTAACTTTATACAAGATAAAGAGAGACTTCATGCAAAGTAAAGACTCCCTGCATGTTGTGGTTACTGTAGATTGTTACTGCTCTTTTTGTGCACTCAGCACCACCTCCTGTCAAAAAAAAACCCAAACCTGTAAAAAACAGGGCACACAATTGGATTGCCCCAAAATACTCTGTTCTTTCCTCCATTCCCAAACTCAAGCTCCTGGGGTTGTTTTTTAAGCTGTTTTATCCATTATTGAAAGAATGCAGGGAAACTATTCCAAAACAACCAAGAAGTCATTTTGCTGTGTATCTTGCTGCTTTTACTATCCCACCTGTTTTAAAGTAAAAAAAAAAAACCCAAAACCTAAAAAAACCACAACAAACAACTTTGAATAGTGTAAACCTCTATAACTGATACTGAGACAACTATAAAGGGAAACCTGTTGTCTTCTGGCTCAAATAAGTATGTACCAAAAGACATTTCCCTCCATGTACCCCCACACTAGAAATGGACAACATATGAAAGAGCTGCACAAGCATAAACTACATGAATAGTGTCACTAGGTTTGCAGTCTTCTTCACATACATGCTGTGCTTTATACAGCATAGCAAGGTTCAGTCATAGAAACTCATCTGGACATGATCAAGTGAATGAGACTTGGCTCTTCCGTAGTAGGTACATTCCCAGCGCACATCATCTTCAGTTCTGTAAGTGGTCCTGCTAATAACAAGAACTTCAAAGTACGAGGAATTACTAATCCAAATACATAGAAATACAGAATCTGAAGTCCATCATGTCTGAAGTCCACAGTATCCTGACTAACCAGCACTACTTATACCTAAGTGTCCCTAATGCCAGCCTGCAGCTGCATTCTCTGCTCACTGTCCCACGAAATAACAAACTGCTTTACATACGTGAGAGCTAATCCGGCCAAGAAAGATGGAAATGGCAGCAGCTACAAACAGAGTGGGCAGGCACAGCAGACCAAAATCCCCAAACCAAGGACAGTAAATCAGGTGACGCTCTCTTTACCCTGTGATTCTACTCTGAAAGATACTATAGGTGGATCAGCTGTTATGCATCATGTGACGAGCCCACCTCTCTTTCCTGTAGCAGAAGCTTAAAGCTATATGCTGTGAATTACACCCACCACCACCACCACCACATCAAGCACCACACAGGTGATCTCAGAGGTCACCCAATGAATATGTACATGCATTACCACTGGTCTGACTCAGCAGAGCACTCAAGCATGCAGTTAACTTTCAACTTGTTCTGAAGTGATACTGGTTTCAAGCTTGCAAGCCTTGATGCAGAGGGATGATGGACTTGCCAAGTTTTCAAAGGGAAGTAGCGAAGAAAAACAGAAAACGGAGAGAAGCAACACACTTAGAATAAAATGGGAAATCTCTGTCTCCTTTTCTGCACTTTCACTCAGATACAAAACCAAGATTTTCTTGGTATTTTAAACCATGTAATTCTTTTCTGTACATTAAATTCTCATGTCTATGTACATTCAGTTTCAAAAGTATGATACCAAAACTCCCCCAAAAGAGCATCCCCATCTCCAGCGTGACCAGAGTCAAGAAGTACTGAAAAGTTAAAAGTTCTGTGTTGACTTCAAAGACCCAAGAGCAGACAGTCAAGGACTTTCTCATAGATAGGTAAATCTCTGATGCGCAAGCACTAAATCACAGAGGACCAGCCTCCAAATTTCGTGACGACTATGCATCATTATTTTGTACAGCATAAACAGTGGTTCCAAAAAATGGATTGCAAAGATACCGTCAAGACATCCTCCAAAGTGCTTTACAGCTTGTCCAGTCTAAGCACTCTAAAAAGCATGACTACACTGCTGTTTTCACCAGTATGCAGCTGTTAGTCACCAGTGAAAAGCTGCGTTCATGCATCCAAGAATGAGTATTTCTGACAGCACTCACAAAATTCTGGTGCCACAGAACATAAAATGACTATCTGGATTTGCTGAGTCAATAGGTTAGGTTAGCAAAGCAAAGTCAAACCACAATGTTTATAAAGACTTTTAGGACAAGTCAGGGATTCTGAGCAACTGCTGTGTAACACAAAGCCCCTGGGAATAATCAAATGATTAATTACTTTTGTGGAAAACAGCAAAGCATTTTGGTTCAGTATCTCTTCCTTTGCATAAAACAGTAGTAAAGAAGAGACTGGATTCCATCTACTAAAACCAATACCATTTGGGTACGTGATATTGGAGAAGAAATGCTATTATCAATAGCAACAGAAAAAGGAGTCTTACCTTCACCTGTGCATGGGGAGAAACTATTTCCAAATTCTTGCGGTTTTGGCTTTAAAGACTGTGGGGCTGGCAGTCCTGGGGGCTGTGGGACTTGTAATAAAGGCTTCCCATTTGTAACCACTGGTTTCCTGGGACTGAGAGCAGGAAGGTGAAGAGTACTGTCAATGATGTTGCTCTGAGGAGCTACCCCTCCTCCAAGGGGCATCTTTAAGTGTGGGCTGGCAGACAAGTTTCCAATAGCTGGGCTTGGCGTGCTGCTACTTGAAGACAGGCAGGGCGTTTCTGCATGAACTCTGATAGATGGGATCTGCTGTCCACTGCTCATCCTAGGTCCATGAGGAATATCTGTTGTCCGATGGCTCATACTGTATGACCTCGCATTCATTTTTAAGAAGTTAATGTAATCAGAGTGTGTTTTTACAGACCCACAGCTATGACTGATATCAATCCAAAGTCAGTAAGTAATCCATTGTGTATTATGCCTGTTTAAAAAATACATAAATAAAAATAATTTATATTGTAGTAAATAATACCTGAAAGAGGATTACACATGACTGTAAACTTTGTGACATTACTGGGTACAAGAAACAAAGTACAAGCACTATGTGCTCTGTCAGAGAGAAAGAACGAAGCCAAGCAATGACTTAGAGCTCTAACAGGGAGAAAATCTGCCTCTTCAAAAACTGAAGTTTGCAATAAGGTCAGTTGCCGTCACATTAGGTAAACCAGCCATGAAATTCAGTGAATGCTGACCAAGTCCAAGAAGGCAGCCAGGAGTGAAAAGACTCTGATAGGGAGTTGTCATTAGGATGAACATGGCTATTGCCCCTTTTCCTGTTGTCTCCTCAGCCTATTCATTAAAATGGTGCTGAAAAGCACACACAGTAGGCCAGCACTATTCAGATACAGACAGGAAAAAGATACCAGTTCACATCCCCAAGATATGCACACAACAAAATGAAGACAGAACAGCAAAACCATAGAAATGCCTCTGTGGTCCTTCAAACTCTGTGGCACCTCACAATAGAAGAGTACCACAAGAAAGCACAGCTCAGAAGTATTCATACGCATAAATTCAATCCCTTCAACAGTGGATGCTTACTGTAAGCCAACAGATATGCCATAATTTAAAGGTAATCATACAGCAGAAAATTTTCAGGGACATCTTTCAAACTATACCAGTAACTTTTGAGCTCTGACTTCTCATGGCTTATGTTTTCCTGTTACTTAAATCGTAGAAGACAAGACTAGTAAGGGGTTTGAGAGATCATCTCAGCCACAAGCTAGCCCAAGGCAGAATCAACCAGATCCAAACATTTCCTGACATAAAAAAGATTTGTAGGCAAAAGCTGCACTTGTCAGTGTAGATCACTGGGCTAAGATATCGCACAGATGGCGTAATTTCAGCCCTAGCTCAGCTGAACAGTACAAGCCCAACTTTCACCACTAGGTTCAGCACGAAGCACATGTTTAAGTAGTTTGTTCAGTCATACACTCAGTGCCTAACTAACTTTTTCAGACAAACTAAGTTGACAGAAATAATACTGAAGTATGGCTTCAATTATGGTTGTCATTCATGTGTACATTAAGGTCTTAACTGCAACTTTTACCTTCAGCACATGAGGTTTTCAAACTGAAGCCAAAAAGATTATAACCAGTATATTCTTGATTGAATTTCACAGAATCACAGAATCACAGAATAGTAGGGGTTGGAAGGGACCTCTGTGGGTCATCTAGTCCAACCCTCCTGGGCAGCCTGTTCCAGTGCTCCGTCACCCTCAGAGGGAAGAAGTTCTTCCTCATCTTCAGACGGAACTTCCTGTGCCTCAGTTTGTGCCCATTGCCCCTTGTCCTGTCACTGGGCACCACTGAAAAGAGCTTGGCCCCATCCTCCTGACACCCACCCTTCAGATATTTGTAAGCATTTATAAGGTCCCCT